AATCGAGCCCCAGCTCTTCGTTCAATTTCGTGCCTCCATTGGTGAAGCACTTTGGCCGGGTTTACAACGGACGTGACAAGCCTGCGGCCGTAAGTGACCAATCACAGCCGAGTGAGTATTCTTTTCGCACTCGACTGTGACTGGTCAATTTCTCACGGCTCAAGTCTCGCTGCGCCTATTGCAGAGCTCGGGCTTTTCGCAACGCACCTTTCACCTCGAGGCCTCGCTAAAGGTCCCGGTTGATCGCGCTTGATCGCACCGGAGTGGGGGCCTGGTGGGGCCCTCAATCGCGAAATCGAGAGAGAGGGGGACGATCAATGTTGTGTAGGGCCCCGTAAGTGTGTCGGGGGGCCTGTCATATGTCGGATTTTCCGTTCCGCGTCCGCGAAACGCGATCGCGCACGTTCCTCGACGACCGCACAGGCGACTCGACGAATTCCAGGGCACGCGCGCCCGACCGTTCACCGCGTCCCGTCGGTCCCCCCCGCGCGAGCGTAAACGCGCTCTCGGGCCCCGCCAGCTGCTTCGGGGAGCTGGAATGCAGGATCAACATGGAGGTGGTGGCGAATAGATCGATATTGCTCGGTGATGTCACGCGCGGTCGCTGACTCTCCCGTCCGGCATCCCGTTTGTAAGTTGTGAAATTCGCGCGTCGCGCGGGCCGTAAACGGACGCGTCGACGGGGCCCCTCCCCGCGCCGTGACTCGCGGGCCTCGTAAATACGGGACGGCCGCGCAAAATTCGACGTCGAGCGGCGGCGAGATTTTTTTCGAAGGCGCAAGACCGCGGCCTGTCGCTGAGGCGGCGCGAAAGTTCAATTGAATCGACGAGAAACGCGCAACCGCGCGAATGTCTTGTACCCGCTTCCGCAAATTCCAAGAATAATCTATCCATAAATTTCTGTCACGGCATATGCCTTCGTTGACACGAGCCAGGAATTAAGCGAACAGAATTTTTGTTGGTCTCTCCCCGAATTCGAGAGCGGTCTCTGTTACAATTTGGATTTGACCATCTCAAGTGCTCCGGTTGCTAATTTTTAAGTTAAACTCTGTTCTTGAAAAATATATATTTTTTGGGGCAAATCCAGACGAAGAAATATATTTTTGAGTGCTAACTTTTTTTGTATCACCTGTTAAATATCAAGTGTTATTTATTTGCTCAAGATATTAAGAAGCAAAGATCTTTCCTCGCAATGCCGTCCCGGATGAACCGAGTAACTTTTATCTCGAACACGAATGTAAAAAGTACACAGTTATACTTTAGGTCTGAGTTGCTGGTCGTTGGTCAGACGTCGGAAGTATACGTCGGTCCTTCTTCTCTCACCCAGAAAGAGTTGCGACTTCTGACTGACGATTAAGAACTCATTGTAGACCGAGGCTAAAAATCAATTTCTAATTTGCAGAACGGAGCATGGAATGGAAGGATCATGCCCACTCCTCTTTCCTAGCTTCGGGGAGCAGAGCGGCTCTGAGCAGGGAGGAGGCTACTCGTCGCAGAAGGTCGGCGTTTATCGATCAGGCGCGGACGCCATCGACTTGGGCTACCACACCCTCGACAACAATGCTTGTCGCACCACGTCGTCGTCGTCCTCGTCCACCCCGGGCGTGCCCAGCACGCCGACTCGCCAACAGCAGCAGCAGCAACAGCAACAACAACAACAGCAGCTACCGCAGCCCAAGCACCATCTGGTTCACCATGTGGCGGTCAACGACCTCTGCCAACTCGATGACAATCTGTTGCTGAGGATCTTTAGCTGGCTCGACACCCGCGACCGCTGCTCCCTGGCGCAGACCTGCCGGCGCCTCTGGGAGATCGCGTGGCACCCGGTGCTCTGGCGGGAGGTCGAGGTGCGCTACCCGCAGAACGCCACGGCGGCGTTGAACGCCCTGACGCGGCGCGGCTGCCACACGTGCGTCCGACGTCTGGTCCTGGAAGGCGCCACCGGATTGCCCGGCATTTTCGCCCAACTGCCGTACCTCAATCTAACGTCCCTCGTGTTGCGACACTCCCGTCGAGTCACCGACGCCAACGTCACCACCGTGCTGGACAGCTGTGCCCATCTCCGAGAGCTCGACCTGACCGGCTGTCCCAATGTCACCCGCGCCTTCGGTCGCACTACCATTCTGCAGTCGCTCGATCTCAGCGACTGCCACGGCGTCGAGGATTCCGGCCTGGTGCTGAGCCTGTCGCGCATGCCGCACCTGGGCTGCCTCTACCTACGTAGGTGCGGCCGCATCACCGACGCCAGCCTGGTCGCCATCGCCTCCTACTGCGCCAGCCTGCGTCAGCTCTCGGTGTCGGATTGCGTGAAAGTTACGGACTTTGGGGTGCGCGAGCTGGCGGCGCGTCTCGGCCCGTCCCTCCGCTACTTCTCCGTAGGCAAATGCGACCGCGTGTCCGACGCCGGTCTGCTGGTAGTCGCCCGCCACTGCTACAAGCTGCGCTACCTCAACGCCCGCGGTTGCGAGGCGCTCAGCGATAGCGCGACCATCGCCCTGGCGCGCGGCTGCCCGCGTATGCGCGCCCTGGACATAGGCAAGTGCGACATCGGCGACGCGACCCTCGAGGCGCTCTCCACCGGCTGCCCGAATCTCAAGAAGCTGTCCCTGTGCGGATGCGAGAGGATCACCGACGCCGGCCTCGAAGCGCTGGCCTACTACGTGCGTGGCCTGCGGCAGCTCAACATCGGCGAGTGCTCCAGGGTCACGTGGGTCGGCTATCGCGCGGTCAAACGCTACTGCCGACGTTGCGTCATAGAGCACACCAACCCTGGATTCTCCAGCTGATGTAACTCGGTCAACAATGGCTGTGTTCTCCAGAAGTTAGCGCTTAATAAGCGCTTTATGCTGATTGGATAGATCTAGAAGAATAGCTCTATTTCAGCACAGATCTGAAAGTATAATCCAATGAACGCAAAGCGCTTAGCAAGCGCTAACTTCTGCTGGACACAGGCAATGGCTGTGTTCAGCAGAAGTCAGCGCTTAATAAGCGCTTTATGCTGATTGGATAGATCTAGAAGAATAGCTCTATTTCAGCACAGATCTGAAAGTATAATCCAATGAGCGCAAAGCGCTTAGCAAGCGCTAACTTCTGCTGAACGTAGTCAATGTCACCCGTGTCGAGGATCACGGGTGGCCACGCGAGGAAACAGTCTCGGAACCAAGTATTCCGAGAAGGAGAATATCCCGATGTTCTCTGGAAAAGGGCCTTTGAGGTATATCCTGAGAATATTAATATAAGAATATATATCGCGAGGATATTTATAAGAGTATATTCTCTAGTATAATTTTTTTTATAAAACACCGTCCAGACAATATTCTCAGGATATTCGATTATCTCGTATCACTAATCTCAAGTGCCAGAGTGTAATATAGCGGAAGTTTATAGAGAAATTGTAAACCTAATTTTTTTTATCAGAGTCTATGCGACGATAAATATTACTCTTTTTGACACGACGTCGACGAGAAAGCGACGTTCGGACGAATTAACAATTTTTTTGAGATCAACGTATCGCCTGCAATCTATTTATTAACAACCGTTTCATCGCTCGCATATTTGTAAAAAGATTGTTTCACGATTGGCTGTAAAAATATATACATATATATCCTGCTTCAAAAGCCATGCGCGCTATTTATTGTTTTCATAATTTAATGCATTGCGTAATGATAATTAATGAATCGTATTTGTATCCCGTAACAACGTCTTGTAATTTATTGTAACGATACGATATTAAATACTTTCATTTCCTAACACCATTGGAATTAATATATAGATTAATTGCACGGCCGGTGCAGTGTGTAGAAATGTGCAATAAAGCAATCCCAGTTAGAGCCAGTTGATTATTTTAGAGATACAAAATTTCCGCACGACAGATTTTATATATTTGTATCGTTAAGAAGTTATAAAAGTATACGATCAGTTTTATTTAAAAATAATAGCGGGGCGCAAAGATGTAAGATGCAGTCGAGATTCTACCGAACGATTCCTCAACTGTCCGCCGGTAGCGACCTTTGGACAATAACTTCACGTGAACAAGTATCGCCGTCAAAACGCACTCAAGGCACGTGACAATCACGACAATATTCCTCAAAACGTTTTCTATTGTAGAATTTTCATGTTGTAAAAATGGAAAAAGATGCGATCGATTTTCTCGATACCCGCTGCGCTTACGTTGCGTAACATTAATGTCTACGAAATGCGTGAACATGTCGGAAACGTCCTGCATTTCTTAATCGAGTCGACTTATGTCCGTTTCTACCAACGCAGTTTAACTTTCATCGCGGTTTAACTTACTTTATATCTTTTTCTAGTTTACGAATTAGAAAAAGAGTAGTTTAAAGCGAGATTAAAGTTAATCTGCATTGGTAGAAACGGGCATTAGGCCGGTATTCATAGTCGATTGTTATTTCAAAATCATGAGCCAATCAGGATTCAGCTTTGAGTCACCTGATCGAAAACTCTGCATCCTGATTGGTTCTCGTAAGCAATCCAATAAGAAAAATTGTATCGTGTGCCGTTGGCTTTAATTGCTAATACAGCTCTGCGATTGGTTGGAAACACATTAAGAGCATACTTTAAGCCCATATCAGGCTACGGATTGGGATTGGGATTAGATTGAAATTTGACCAGTCAGAGTAAAAGTTACTGAACTTGAGATTAGTAAACTTTACTGTGATTGGTTAAATTTCAATCTAATCCCAATCCCAATCCGTAGTCTGATACGGGCTTAAGACGATCTTAAACATACGAACGGACTATGAATACCGGCCTATGTATTATACGTCTATGGTCACCGAACTAAAGTTGACGGGCGGGAGATCTTCGCGCGTGCCGTTCGGACTCGCGTGAATTTGTGATTCCGCGGCGAACGCCTGCGCGAGATCCTTCGGGAAATCCGCGCGTTCTCTGGTAGGGGTGGCGCGGGATTCAGGGGCGAAATCGCACGGTGGTTGAAAACCGCCGTCGTGTACCAGTCGTACGTAAGCGGTCACGCGGTCACGAGCAGGCCCGCGCAATTCCATGTCGCCGTCTCCCGTCCCGTTCCTTCGATACGGGCTTCTTCTGGTCATCGCCTTCGGGAATGGTGAGTTGACTGACGCGCGCGACTTTCACCCGTCGCACAATTCGCGCAAAGCGGCCGCGAGCTCGCGACTGGAATCATCTTCCCCGGATTTCTTTTGTTTGTTTCGACGCCGACTTTCGCTGTCGGGAGGCAACGCCGCGGCCGAGGGTTGAAAAGTTTTCGCGAATCAGCCTCTCGTCGAGAAACGGATCGAAGCGATTTCGTCTCACGAAAATTGATTTCTTTCACACTGAGGAAAAGTCCCCGAAAATTCACTCGTGGCATGTAACGTTTATTTCAAATCAATTTTCGAAGACTTTTCTCGGCGTAATAAATCTTTGTGTAGTCGTAGGCTCGCCCTACCATGAGTTGTTAGTCGTTGGTCAGAATAACACTATGTCGGTCCTTTTTCTCTCATCCAGGAAGAAAAAGGATCGACATATAGTTCTGACTTCTGACGACTCGTTGCAGAACTAGGCTTTGGAGTCACACGATGAAAACTTTTTGCCCGATACATCCAGAAAACAGATTTGAGTAGGTTAAATAAAACGAGACGCATCGAAATCACAATTGTTCGAATCTATTAAATTTTTATTTACTTCTAAGTACCTAAAAACATTTGCTAGATTTGAAAAAAAAATGGACATGGATTCCCTGAGAAATTGCAGTGTCAATGAAATAAAAATTTGGTTAAGAAAAAGAAATCGTTTCTTTAAAATTAAACAAAAGTCTGGTAAGGTCGAAATTCAGACAAACTCGTTTGATTTCAAACGCCGTACGGGAAAGAATGATTAGCTTGTCTCGAAGAATTGAGTTATCGATACCCGCCGTCTTCTCAGAAATTCGACATCTCGCCCCTTTTCCATAATGCCCGATAATCTCGGAAGTTGATAACGACGTAGGCCGTCGTCAATAAAGTTCCAAGGTCCGCCCGTCCCTCGGTGCCCAAGTGCAGCGCGTTTCGGAATTGTTTAGATATTGTCGGGCGTCACAAAGCTCGTCATAGCTTTTGTCCGCGCCGGGGACTACACAACCGCTGATATCAAAGACGTCTGAGATGTAAATTAGCGGCGCGATCAAATCCAAGGCTGAAACGTCAACAACAAATTGCGAGCCATTTTTAGGAAGAGCGTCCTCGACACTGGACACCGCGAATCGGGTTTCGCGACTTTTATTACACCCCTCCGCCGCCTCTGTTACCGTGAAATTTTCCGAGGATTCGGCGACTCGACGATTTATCCCCCGCGCATTAATTCGCAGATCTCCCCTAAGAGGTAAATTAATTGTAATATTCTAATTAAGCTTAATAATATGACTTCATTTAATTGATTTTATATTAAAATTTCAAATTTCAATCGACCTCAGCTCGCCCTGTTTATTAAATTAGCTCTCGCAACGTTATTTTATATCGCACGTGATTTCATTTCATAATTCGGCTGTGAATGAAGGGGTTCAGTCGCGGGGGAAAAGCCGACGAGATATGCAGAGGTTTTCACACGTGGTTCACGATGTAACTTTCGATCTTAACCGGACCTCGTTACGGTATGTTTGCGCCGCATCTAGCAGTGTAAACGTTTGCGAATCAATCGCGTCAAGGGGCCATTTGATGCCTTCCTCCATGCCACGAAATTCGGCGATCGGGAACGCCGGTGGAAACGAATTTGCATATTCGTTGGATGCATCTAGCAAATCGGTTTACGTATAACCGAGGCTTTAGCGGCCACGGCCGCCATCGGCGATTGTTTCCTCGTCACTGCTTATAAAATTTTATCCGTGTATGTAGATACACGGCTAATCGCGTGTAAGGGAGTCAATGTTTTTGTTAAGTCCGATATGTCGAAAAGTTGAAACCGATCGAGGGAGGAAAACGAAAGCCGCATCGTCATTGCGGCAAAAGAGTCATTTTAGAGGGATCCTCTTTAATAAATGGAGACCAAAAGAGGGACATTTTGGCCGAAATTGAGTTAACGACGAATCCTTGCCTCTTGCGTACCCTAGTAGCACAGCGCATGGACCAAACATTGGTTAAACATTGGCCCAATATTTGGTTGTATCGGTCCCATGTTTAGCCAATGTTTCGTCCATGCACTGTGCTACTAGAGCAAAGTAAAAGTATTTAAAACGCTTAAAAATAAAAACTTATTTTAAGGGATCCTTTTCTCAAGACAATGGCCGCAGTATTGATGGTCCGTTCTTAAATTTAAGATCTGAAGTACTGCAGTCTAAGACCCAGTTTCACCAAACGTCGCTTAACTTTAATCTTAGTTTCATTCACGTTTGTCTCTTTCTAGAGTATAACAGCTGCAAAAGTGCCGGAGAACGAATTGAGCCAAGCTTAAAGTTAAACGACGCCGGTGAAATCGGGCCTAAGTGTGTTGTAAACCAATCACAGAGCGTCTTAAGATATTACTCAAGATGATCTTAAAATAAGAACGGACTACCGATCAAAGTAGCGCAAAACCTATTGGAAAAATTTCTATTATATTTGTAAAATAATTTCTCATCTTTTTAAACGTATAATTTTGTCACGTGTGCCTCTTCCGTTCTAACCGATTCAACAGTTTGTAACCAGGTGTGCGTAACAACATTCAAGCAGGATCTAGCAAATTGATGAATGTATGGCGAATAATTACGTGTCTGGTTGCAACGTTAGACTAGAAAGATAAATCCCCTCCGACGGTTTTGTTGATTTCACCGTATGTTTGTCCCGCCGCGATTATTGTTCCGCGATGCTGAAGTTTTACTCTTGCTCCAAGTGCTCGGATAATCGAACATTTTCATATCCCGGAGAAGGGGGATAATCTCCAGACGGAGACGGATGTCTTCGCGTGGCGGACTGTTCTGCCCGAAGAAATTCGATGTCAGTCGGTCGAGATCCCGCGAGATATTCCGCAGCTCATACAGTTTCGACATCTGACACACGATCTCATTACAAATCTGTGAGATTTTTCGATTTACGTTTCCCGGCGACGGTGGCGGGCCGATATTTCTCGATCTGCGAGAATCTTGCGGGATCATTTCGCCACGCGAGGATAAGAGATTCAAATTACACGCGAGAATCGGAAGACGCGCGTTGCGGCATGGAAATTCTTCACAGTTATTTGATAATAATCGAAAGAACGATAGCGGAATCAAGCTTCTATAAGCAATGTTTTTGAAAAACAGCTACTTACTTTTATATTTCGCAAATTACTTTAAACCGTCGGGAAATTGCAGTAGCCTGAACACTTGTATTTATAAGAGCAAACTGACTTTGTAAATTGATAAGAAGATTACTGAGAAATAATGCTACTGTACACGGAATAGCTTGAGTATCAGCAAGACTATCGATAATTTTACTTTAGCGTCGTTCAAACGTCGGCACTCGTCGTCGTCGTTTGAGGATACAGCTTTCACAGTTCGATAGGACCGTAAAGACGCACTCTCCTAATTACGAGCGGTATCTTCGCGACGAGTATCACTTATCTTTCTCATACTAGCCTCCTACCTTTCTTACTTCGGGCTGAGATTAGCTCGGTCCTCTGACAGGTTTCACCACGCTTCACGGCACAATGGTCGCTTCAATGGGGAGGTGGACTGACGTTACTGATCATGTAGCCGATCGCTATAATGGACGAACATCCACGTAACGAAACGGATCAGAGTCGTGATCAGAGAGAAGGGCCCGGCGAAAGGAATCTCTTAAGTCGTTTTTTTTTTTTGCGAAGCCGTTTCCCAGGACTTTACGCCGCTTCTCGCGCTCAGCCTTGCGCCATCCTCCATTCTGCAGAGTGATTCTTCATCGAGTTTTATTCGGATATCACTTGTGTCGCGATTAGACGCTGAAGTGATTCTTCACGTGGGCATTTTGTTCTTTCCGCGTGATATTAAATTAAAAGCGAGAGATGCCACCTAAAATTAACGTATGATATTAAATTTGCAAATATATATTGTCGCAATTCTTCACGCTGTATTCATATTTCACCGTTTAATTTACTTAGAAATTTGATTTATACTATCAAGTTGGTTTCATTTCAATTGACAATCCAGTGTTCAAATCAATAATTAATAAAAGCCTTGAAAGATAGGAATAGCGAAACTTCCCTAACCGAAGGTTACCAGGCTAAAGGGTAGAGATGGGTCGAACCCTGATTTTGAAGTCCTCGAAACTTGAATCCGAATCTTTGTGAGGCCTCGAAATTCTCGAAACTCTCGAAACTCGAAACTCTCGAAAGCTCAGATGCTAATCTAAAAAAAAAATTGATTATTTTTTTGGAAACTAAAAAACTCAGTCAATCTTTCCGATAACTATTTTATAATAATATATGTATAAGAAATTGTAAATTCTATTACATCAACTTTATTTCTTTAGCCAGTCAATACGACTGTGTATTTTTTTTCTTAACAAAGAGAAATATGAAAATTCAATCCAATGTGTGTTTTTAAAGGTTTTAATTGAAATTGCGATAAAGCAATTTAGGAAATTAATCTCATTTTTTTTATCTGTTCAGGTGTTTGCGACGAACACGAATACAGACTGACGAAGTACTTGTTGGACGGATATGACGCCGGCGTGAGGCCAGCTAAAAATTCGTCCCAGCCTCTGGTCGTGGTGTTTGGACTGTCTCTTCATCATATTATCGACGTCGTGAGTATTCCAGCGTAAATAATCTTAAAAATTAGTATGTGACACGATATTTTTCGATATTTTTATGCAAAATTTAAGTAAACATTTTTATCTATAAGAAGTGTGAAATGTTTCTACCGCAAGCTCTTCAGACGATGTTACATTTCCATTGAATTAGCTGCATAAAATTTATACGATATCGCCCCATACGTATTTTCCGCAACAAAATATTGACGACGATTGTAAAACAGAAATATCAGCAGAGATTCCGACATATTTCTCGAAGATCTTACAGCTTTACGACGATCAAAATGTATTAAAGAAGCGAATTGTTGACTGCACGAAATCCTTCGCTAAAGGCGAGGCCGAACGAGAACGCGTGGGATTTCTTCAAAAGTGTTTTCGTTTTCCACCATCGAAATTGTACACACATTTGTGGAATCCCACGGAGACACTACGTTACTGTTATTCTTCATTAGCATAATAAAAAGAAGCGCACGAGAAAATATTTCCTTGTATAAAACGAGATAACGGTGATGCTTGACATAGTCGTGACGTAGTCAATTAGAAAAAGGCGTGCCCTCCCGACGACTTTCACAGAACAAAAAATTATTTAAATACAAGGGAGAAAATATAAAAAACGCTCGGTTTTTAACGACATTTGCATTCGCGCCTGTGGATTTTTTTTTTGCTATCGACTTTTATCAACGCTTTGGCATTCAAACAGAGTTCTCAGTAAACGGATTTGATCTTTAATAAAATAAATTCCTGTTAGCGTGACTGAAAAAAATTGCCACTAAAACAAGCGGTAGAAATAACATTTGAATTCACCGCGCGTAAAGAATGAACGATTTTTATTACATTTTCATTTGAAGGCCCATAAAACCGATATAATAACATTATTCCCCGCTTTTTCGCGTAACGATATACAGCGTGCAATATGATAAATATAAATGTACATTCAATTTATATAAAAATTAATCAAGTAGCTGAACTTTATCAATTTTTCATACGTTTCTCTTTTATCCGATTTATCTCTGTTATCGATTTCGCTCGAGATTTTCGAGTCTTCTCTTAGATTTGTCACGGAATCCAAGGTAAAATTGAGAATAATGCGTATCGTAACGAAAATGGAAACACTGCGACCGTGACGGGATCCCCGATGGTAATCGGAGATACGCGAGATAAATTGGCGTGAGAATAAGTAAGGCGGTGGGAAAGTTTCAAGCATTTGTTTCGCGTATGGCGGTAACGAGAGCAACCTTTAGCGCAACCGACCGGTCACCCCAGGGAGGCCTGAGACCGTCTAACGAGAGCTCATTACATTTATCTATCGCGCAGTATTACGGTCGATCATCCGCCTCGTCTCTTTTTTCTGTTTTCCTTTCGTTTGATAATATTGATGATAATGCAATACCACGCGGATTTCCCGTCGAGTCTCGTTGACTATCAGAATTTATCGGAGTCTTTTGAGACGCTGCTAATGGAACACACAATGAGATAATTGAGTAACCGAAAGGATACTTTACGCCATCCTTCTCTACTTTTTCTCATTCGAGAAGATTTATCTCTTAAATATAGAATTTTTATTAACAGTTGTATATTTGCAAAAAGGGAATCTTATAGAAAATAACTTTGCGTTGCGTACATTTTACAAACACTTAGAAAACTATAATGGAAACGTTTGACATTATATCATTAAACGCAATTTGAACACTTGTAACCGTGAACATGTCATAAACAACTCCATGATTAAATTT